TAAAAACAAAATAAAAATGTTAATTAACTTCGTAATATATACAACTTACTAATAAATAAAATATACAAATATAACCTATACATACATATAAACAATACATTCATATTTTTACATTCAATATCATTCCTTAACTTTCCAGTAGAGTCACGTATGTTAGAAACTCTTATGTGCATAAAGGACGCAGAAATACGACGAGGTTTGTCGTAAAATATAATTTTTCATCTTGATTTCGGCCATTTTTCCAAATCTCTATATGTGTTCGTGGAAATAGTGATAATTTTTTATCACCTGAATTCAATCTACCGGATAGACGGAAGGGCTTACGCGAGATCGTACGCCATTTCGTTTCTTTTTATATAAAACGTTACAAATGATTATGTGTGTAGCTTTTGGCCCTTTTGATGTTACGACATACTATTTGAAAATGCGTTTCTTTTATCCTTTCTGAAAAATATTTTTATTAATCTATTCAAATTTTTAGGCGTTAATAATTATAAAGAAGAAAGATTTTGGATTGTATAATCATGATAAACTGTACAATTACATAGGGAAAAATTTAAGAAAGAAGTTGTTAGGTATTGGGGATGCCACGTCAAGTCTTCACATTGCCCATATTGCGAAGTCTGAAAACGCAAGTTTTTCCTGCGGGTACTCGCATATTATGGCACCAAAACATGAGTATTAATGATATTACTACGGTACTTAGCGTAGTAGTTTTACAGCTGTATTATCACATCACGAATGGTTCAGATAAAATAGAAAGAATGAAAGGAGGCTGGCTCTTCCAGACCACAGACCTGAAAAGGCCAGAGTAAGGTAGCAGAATAATACGGCTTTCGTATGCTGAGTAACCAAAACAGATACTCTTTTGACATAACGCATTCCTTCGTTGTCCTCAGATGTGTTAACGCATCTCTATTTTAATTATTAATCGGTGATATTTTTTTTTATAGGATAATGGTAACAACGATCACACAGCCCACCTTTTGGTAAGTGACTGCTGTGGCCCATAGATATATACATCTATCCTCGATTACGAATCAAAATGCAGATGCGTTGTCACCCGTGAGGACTAAGATGGAATACCTCGTTTCCAGTAAAATGGGTCTCCGATTCACTACACTCACCATACGAAACACAGCAGTGTTAAGCTGCTATTTTACGCTGGTATTCTGTGAGGGCGTTGTCTCTCTTCAGTCGAGCCGACTACTAATATAGCTGTAGCATGGCTCTACCACGTAAAAGTAAATTACCTATATCTATGGCCCACATCATCTATTTATCACCAGGTGGATTGTATGCTCATTTATCACCTTTATTAATATAATAACCTCAAAGTTAAAATTAAGGCTTAGCGAACTAGAAGAAACGAACGAACTTAATATCGGAAGCTCCTGTGACTATATACTATATTTATTGAATATAAAACAGATTTTGTATTGTTTCCCATTCTCTTTAATAAATTTATCAAAATATTTTCTTTATTTCAAAAAATATGAAATTGCATTGTATTCCATTCCTGTTGAATTTTTAATCATACGGCAATGTAAATGCCGTGATCGTTAAAACATTATAAATTGAACTGTACAGCTGTGAATAAAATAAAAAACTATTAAATCGTATTTATCGGTTACCCAGAAGAACATTCAACGTGGTTTATTTTGTAAATATTTAAAACTGAGATTTTGACTGTGTAACCAAACATACCACAAAAAATGACGATATACTCGACGATTGCTAAACGTTTTTAATTATTCTTAATAAAATAGACTGTACCTCAAGAGTGGTCCTATTTAAATTTGAAGAAACAATTTACCAATTATTGGTGGGAAAATAGAGGATGAATTTTTTTATATTATATAAATATATCAACTACATTGAAGTTAACAACTGGAGCTTGTGTTAAGGTCTAGTCCACAGAAAATATACAAATAATTAAAACTTAAAAAGTAAAACCGATTTCAATAAATTAAAAGAGTAATATAATTTCCAATTACATTTCATAAATTCTGAAGTCGGCTTTAATTCTTTGACTTCTGAAGCTATCATGTGGAAATTATTATTTTTTTGAAGTAAGTTTTACTTTTTATTAAAAGTTAAATTATTAATAATATATTTATAAAAGATAAAGCAACTTTCATGTTACCTGGACCATAAATTAACTATCAGCTTCTTTACTACAAATACAGAATCAGTTGCACCTTTTTTATGAAACTGGGGCGACACGTTTTGTCTCTCCAGTTTCATAAAAATTAACTTACATTCCACCTGATGGTAAATGGCCACCTTCACAGCGTTTGTCTTTTATTGATTAATATTACCAACCCAAATGGAGCTTTGGTTATTTATAAAACCTTAACAAAAGTAACTTAGAGAGCTACAGTTAGAGATCAAGTTTATGTGGTCGCTTATCGTCCATTGAGTGCTTATAGGCCTGATTTAAGGGCCATCGAAATGTAAAAAAAAAATATGACCGGGATAGGATTTGCGATTGCTAATAAAAGAGTAATTTATGGTGTCGTAAAACAACGATTATGTAATATATAAATTACATAAGAATTTATGTCGTAGTGTTCAGCTACTTTTAAATCGGAGTCTTATGACGGCTCAACCGTGGAATATTGGGTATTACAGCTTGTACGGAATACTGTGTTTTGTAATACTGTGATTTTAAACGTGGTAGAGCCACGCTGCATCTACTATGATTGTAGCACAAATGGGTCGGCTCAACCGGGGAAGGACAACGCTCTCACAGAATACCATAACCAGCTTAAAATAGCAGCTTTATGCTGCTGTGTTTCCTATGATCAGGGTTGACAACGCATCTGCATTTTGATTCTTAATCAATTATAAATGTAGATGTCTACGGGCCACAGCATCCACATACCACCAGATGGACTGTGTGTTAGTTTGCCACTCCATTCTCTAAAAAAAAGAATACGAATGCGAAAATCAGGCACATAATACTTGCATGTACCGAGTGACGAGAAGCAGATATCCTTTTTACTCGCAACGATGAAAGAATCTTAGTCCTTAGAGGTGACACGCATCTAAATTTTGATTCAGGTAATATTTTATTATCTAAATAAATATGTAGGTATCGGTTTGTGAGACACGGTACGAGTATCCGATTATCATCAGTCAAATCGCGATAAATGAGCAACACAGTCCGTGTGCTCATTTATCGCGATTTCTTCTGTTATTTTACTTTAAAAAATAGTAGATAATAAGATAAAATCTGGTCTCTTTAACTTTTGACCTCTCAGAATCCCAATTCTGAGAGGAAAAATGAAGCAGAATAGAATAAAAGGTTTTAATCCAATATAGATTATAACATAATAAAAAAGTATTTTTTTTTAAATTACAGTCGGTAGCTATATTCAGTCACTCTTTTGGATTTTAAATATTTTCGACATCCTTATTTCTTCTGATTTCTTACTACAAGAGGAATTAATATTTTCAGCGATGTCAGTACTGTAAATCGAGCTAAGATTGTTTACGCATTTTGGAATCCAAGGCGAACGCCATCCCATTGAGATATTACGGCTTCTAATTGGTTGTCCATCATTTAAGTTATTAAGCCCTGATTGGTAAAAAAATATGTATTTCGTATGATTTAAAATCTTGCATTAAATATTAATCCTTGAATAATCTTTAGATATAATATAACAATTAGTGCGTTGCTATTGTGATAGTATTATTTCAGAACGACTTGGCCGACTGAGGTCATATTTATATATATTTTTGTCAAAATAAAAGTTCATAAGATCCGATGCTATGCGATGTTATGCTAGGATCCGATAGGTAGCGCTGTAGTAACTTTAAACAAATTCTACGCAGTTATTCTTCAAGGAGTATAAAAGTTCAAATATATAAATAATGATATAGGGTTATTGCAGTTTTTGAAAATACGAGTAAATAAGGTTTCTACTTTTATTTGAAATTACTTTTATTGGACGTATACCTATTGCAAAGTAACCCTGTATATTATAGACCAATGTAATTCAAATGACTTTATGTTGGCTTAGTGCCAGTAAAGAAAATCACAAAATCTAGATCTAAAATTTTATATTTACACTTTAAAAAGTCCGCAGTGAATTTGTAAGGAAGGAAAGGGAAGAACAGCATCCGCCGAGTCAGCTAATGGAATATAAAAGTTAGTTTATGTGTCACTATCATGTCAACTTAGACATATTCTTCCGAAACAGCATTGCCATGTTCTTTGTATTTGCATAATTTAGAAACTTCAGCAAACTCGTATTTCGTTTCAGCGCTCATGAATATAATATCAATAAAATAATTGCAAAAATATAACATTAATATATTATAGTTAACACATTGATAATTTTAAATAAAAAAAAATACTTTATATAAACTATGTAAAAATTAAACCGAGAAGTCGCTTATATGAAAAGTGGCACGTTAAACTTTTATGATTATTCCGTGCTAACATTTGTAGTGCCCTAAAAGCATTTCATATTTAATGTTTTATGGGTATAGTAGCGTATAAATGTTACACACAATATAGTTTTCATTTCCATTTACATAATTTTCAGATAAAGTTATGCTCATAGCCTTGTCAATTTTATAGACAAAAGTGTACAAAAGTCGACGCACAACCACACCGTTACCGTTACAGACTATTAAAATCCACTGCTGAACATAGACCTCCCCCTTAGATTGCTTCATATGGGGTATATTTGCCATAGTTGCCACGCCAGGCAAGCGGATCGGCCACCGCAGTTTTTTATTTTTAGTCGTTATTAGGAAGACATTGTTGTCCATCCATGATTATATGGGGTAGTGGACATTCTTACACACCACACACATAATACTAAACTGTAATTTATAAATTTTCCAAAGGGAATTAAAACAAAAATTAATTTCGGATATAAAAATAAGCATAGGTAACCGACTCGCAGAAAATATTCAAACCTTTCCAATAGACCTCAATAATATTATACCTCGTAATAATGATTTGAATAAAAATAAAAACTTACCTCATCATAAATGAAATTGTCAATCTCTTCCAGGGGTCGTCCATATAGTTTCGGCGGAAAGGGCTCGTACTTCCGCGGTAGACGCGCACCGTCTTCGACACTAAGCCGGCGTCGCGGCATGAATCCGAACTCTCGCACAAGCTGTGCTCCCCGCGAGCCAGCGCGCTTCGCCGATTCGCGCGTGAACGGCGTGACAACGGCCCGCGGCTCATCACGCCCGCCCACTGTTTCACTCGCGAACGTGACGTCGAGCGGGATCCGCAACTCGTCCCGCCGCGGCTTCTCGCATTCTGTGGCCAGCGCATCGCGCGACTGCGAGGCAGCCAGAGGTGCAGCTGCCTCCGGGTTCGTTGCCTCTAGCGTGCGCACGATCTCGCCAAGCAGCCGCGAGCCATCGATCTCTTCCCCGGGCGAGTTCAGCGGCGCCGGCGGCGGGAAAGACAACCGCCGTTCGTCTTCCTCCATGCCGATACCGGCGACGGCTACGTGTGCCCCCGGCCCATCGTCACGCCCCACACGCACTCGCACGCACTATTTGCAGACCAATGACGCCATTTTCAGTTAATACTGCCACCTGAAACAAATAAATAACCCTCAGTAACCATAAATATGTTCACACTATTATTTAACACACGGCACAATAAAGCTTAAAAAGTTACTATTTATTTACGAAATCTGTGGTTTCGTGTAAATTTTCGCAACATAAATATCCGCTTTAACGGATAAAATGTTCTTTAAAAATGTAATGGTGTTTTATAAACGTAATAATACGTAATACAAAACGTACGGTATATTGTTATAATTTTAATATTTTAAGACTATATCTTCAATATATTTTGCTGATAACCGAAATTAAAAACATACATTATGATAATAAAAATCAACCAGTATAAATTCTTTAATAAAACGAAATTATATAATACTTCGAGAGATAAATCCACAGCGAATGAATGATAAGTCAGTAAAAGCATCGCTGGCAATAACAAATCTTTTAAATCTATGATGTAGGTACGTAAACAGTGAATTCGACGAAGAATTGCTTACATTACATTCTACGTTTCTACGCAGTCACAACTCACAAGCATGAGAAAATTTATAATGAGACACGCATGTACACAAGAGCTCAACTGTAGCGAGTGATTCCCTTGTAAATGTAAGATATGAATCGATATCGAGTGTGCTGCGCTGCTCGCATCCATTTGCAGACCATTTGTTGACCATTGTTGTGTGTGACCATTGTCTCCAACACACGAGGGAAAAGTACTCATGTACATTCAGAATAATTCTGCGGCGGATAAAGTTCTGACGAAACTGACGTTTTAATACTGAACTTTTCTTGGCTGCATATATCAATATCTAGCTATCTATAGTAATATTTTAACAGAAATAAAATAAATCAATATTGTTGAATTAAAAAGTTGTGTATTTATAATTAATTGTGAGTAAGTATCGTAAGACGCGATTGTTATAAATGCCATAAATCTCCTATAGTTTTCAAATTATGACGGCAAATCTATTTCTTTTACGCTAGACTAAAGAAGCCAAACCGGCGACGGACTAAGTACGAAAAAGAAGTAGATATGATACCTAAAACCCAATATTTTATTTATGCAAGCTCTTTTGTTACTGAATTGTTATAAAAATTCTGATCTTTTAAAAGATAGAAAACAATCAAAGAAGTATAGAATAGAATGGAATAGAATAATTGTTATTCAATATTGATTACACGTAATTCTTATTGAAAGTTATTTTTTAGTCATGAAAACAACAACAGGCGACAAGAAAGCTGTTCGTAATTTTTTTAATATTAAAAATGGTACTATTATGAATTACTCTGACTTTGACCTACAAGCGTCAAATTAAATTTAGGGAAAAATAATAAATTTTTGATTATGCAACCGAAATTGAACTCGTATGGTAACTGGAAAACGCAGAATATATATATAGTTGTAGTAGGTATATTTTATTCTCATTACAGTTAGCGAACAACCTGGGTTCGATTTGTTAAAATTGTTAATTGTAGTTTATAGTGCTAAATTTATTAAGCTTCCATCGGTGAAAGAAAACTAGGACACTAGCATTTTCCGCCAGGATTAGAGTCGGAATAATCGCGCCATAATCCTTTCAGAAATAAGACGAAACCTGTGCTCAGCAGTGGGACGTATATCTTCTTTTTTTGTCATCTCATATAAGTCCACTACTGAACATGGCCCGTAATTATATTGAAAGATATAGGGAGGTAAATTCTCTCTATAAAACATGAATGGCGCCTATGACGCTGCTTTCCGTTGCCAATTTGGGTATTCAATGTTGGCGTCTAGGTGATGGTTATAGTGCCATCTATCGAAAGCAACAAGCTTTATTTGGCACATCACTACATCTACACGTGGTAGAGCCATGCTGCAGCTATATTACGTCTATAATTGTAGCACGAATGGGTCGGCTCGACCGGGGAAGGACCACGCTCTCACAGAATAGCAGCGTAAAATAACAGCTTAACACTGCTGTGTTTCGTATGGTGGGTGTAGAGAACCGGAGACCCTTCTTACTGGAAACGACGCATTCCATCTTAGGTCCTGACGCATCTGCATTTTAATTCGTGATGGAGGATAGATGTAGATGTCTATGGGCCACAGTAACCACTTACCATCAGGTGGACTGTGTGCTCGTTTGTCACCCTAATTCTATAAAAGAAAACATCATTCCATAGTCGCCACTTACGACAGCCATAAGACGAATTGAGATACTGTATTCTCTTACGCTACTAATACACGACGTATAGGCTGTAACTTTAAATAATTCTAAAATAGACAATAGTTAATATAAGTACAACACAATGCGTTTATAATTAGAAACACCATGTATTTTGCAAGCAAAGATAAATTATGTTTGATTGCTACAATGCATGCGCGCTAACACTTAAATTCAATTCGTGCCTCGGCAACCTCAAGAATCAATTTCCAGAGCATTTCGGGTACGACGAATGAGAAACATTTGTACCATTCGAAATATAACACGTATCTCTCACAGAGTTATGAATCGTAAATTTATATTTTATACGTGGCCTACCTTATCCCTAGCCATGTTGCAGCTATATTATTGTTATAGCACTAATGTCGGCTCGACCGGGGAAGGACCACGCAATCACAGAATACCAGTGTAAAATAGCTGTATAATTATGGTGAGTGCAAAAAACCGGAGATATCACTGGATATGTGGCATTCCATTTTAGTCCTCAGGGATGAGAACGCAACTGCATTTTGATTCCTAATCAATCATAAATATATATGTCTACTGTGGTCCACATAATGGTAAGTGGATACTGTGGCCCATAGACGCGCACGCACATACAAGGGAGTCGAGAGCGGTGTCGTAGAGAGGGCATGACGGCTTAACAGTGGTAGAGCCAGGCGGCAGCTTTTGCTGTCGCACGGATGGGCCGGCTCGAACCGGGGTGGTACCACGACCTCACAGAATACCAGCGTGAAGTAGAGGTTTACCTCTGCGTTTCGCTTGGTGAGTGCAGGTGGCCGGAGGTCCTTTTTACTGGAAATGAGGCATTCCATCCTAGTCCTCACGGGTGATAACGCATCTATATTTTGATTCGTAAACGAGGATAAATGTAGATGTCTATGGGCCACAGCAACCACTTACCATCAGGTGGACTGTGTGCTCGTTTGTCACCCTATCCTACAAAAAAAAAAAAAAAGAGAGCGTCATGCCGTTTGCCGTCACGGCATATGAGTCGATTTTACTAAAAAAATGGTACAAAAACAAACCTATTACTTCCCAACTTTGTCGCTTCTACAAATGAATGTTTATGCAGTACTTAACTATAGGATTCACATTTTCTACGATTTTAAAGATTCCATTGTAATAATTTTACCAGAAAATATACGTCGTGTAATCGTACATCGAATAAGACAATGGTGTAAACATAATACATTAAAAATGGATGGTTGCCTAACGTGTCATTCATACACGTATAAACAAGTTTTAAATACGTTGAGATAGATGAATAAACGTAGGAAAGGAAAACATCACGATTATTTAAAAGTAAATATTATAAGAATAGTTTTTATTAGTGTCCGACCGAAACAGGATTTTCGACCGAAACCGAAACCGAAACTTATTTAGACATATAAATTTTTTTATTGTACACTTTTTATGGTATATATATATTACACTTTTATATACATATATATATATATATATATATATATATATATATATATATATATATATATATATATATACATATATTTTATACATATTTAAGGAAAAACAATTATTGTAATAGTCATGTAGCAATATATTTATTTATTTTAAAGTAAAAATCCACAATTTAACTTTCAGAAATATTTTTTTAAGTCAATTTTGTAGAAAAACCAACACTTTCACCCATAAAACGTTGCTCGCTAATTGAGAACATATTTTATTGTGTTTACAATATTATTAATATTATTCAATGAGAGCATTAACTTAATATATCACACATACTTACACACAATATACACATAACAAAACCCAAAGTCACAGATTTAAGTGTTTTTGTTTGGGGCCTCGCAAGAAGCCCCTCTTAAATGCGACTGCGAGGCCGTTGTAACTATTGTTACAATTGACGGAAAAATAAACGGCTAAATGTTCATGGAGGATTTTGTGCACTTGACTCATACCGATGCCCAAGCTTGTCCAAATCTGCTGATAAGTCACTATTTTGTCAGTCTCTATCATACGCCGCACAACACTGATGTTATCTTCAGTTGTCGCCGTAGAAGGCCGTCTCTCACGCAGATCATCAGTGAGATTAGTGCGACCACGTTTAAAATCATTAAACTAGTTGTAAATAGTGTCACGAGATGGGGCTTCATCGTGAAAGGCCAATCGAAGTCTGTCATAACTTTCTATTCTACACAATAATATCGGCAAAGAGTTCCATCTTATTTGTTTATTATATAATTTACAAGTGGCCAATTCTAAAAACTTTCAGTGTCGCCCTCGTATGTCCGGTATGCATGTTCGGTAGGATAGATCTATTGGGTAGATCCTTGGAACTATAGAAAAGGGGCCGCGTTGATGCAACTTCGCCTACGTTTATATTAGTCCACGCTACGCTTCTGATTGTAAGCTGTTATTTTAAAAAAAAGTCCCGCTGGGTATCTTACTGGTTCTTCCAAGGACAGAGGTTTTTTTTTTTGGAACCAGTGGTAATTTAACAAAAGAGTGAATTTCAATAAGTATTGTTTACAATCTATATTGAATACAAAAGTTTCTGTTACTGTATAATTATGACATGACGTGGCTCGTGTATTCTGTATAATACACGAGTCACGAACTCATCCGAACGACTCACAATATTCCACGAACACTAAGTTTCGGCGCCACCGAAGGTTCGGCAGATTTTTTGCCGAAACCGAAACTATTACCGGAACTAGATTTTTTTGCCGAAACTTGCCGAAACCTAA